ATGACAACACAAGCGCCTGTAGCTCAGTGGATAGCGCGTTATTTCCTAAGCTGAAGGTTGCAGGTTCGACCCCTACCTGGCACGATAGAGCAACCCTTTTTTGCCTTCGGCCCAAACATATTGCATATNAAGAATTTCCGTAGCCATAAATACCACTTCATCATATTCAACAACTCATATGCAATTTAAGTCACCACAATAATTACCCACAACAAGCCAAATATGTTATTACCACAATTGTTCCAAGTGCATCATTTACGATTTCCTTCCATCATTTGTTTCTCAGTTCTTACCACATAACACTTTCACAATCACACACCCACATTTGGTTTGTTTCCATTTACTTGCACCATCATATCATAAGACTTAACCAACAACATTCAAGGCACATAAATCACAAGAATTCACAAATAGTTCACATAAGTAAACACATACTTCCATGTCGACATCCTCAAGCTTTTACAACTTTGCACATAACAAGATAGGCACATCAAATCACTTCTCACAATCACATATAACTTGGTGGTATGGAAATCAACTAAGGCAATCAATTCACATATTCTCATACAAGGTACACATACCGTATGCTCGTCACAACAAGGGGGATCCTACAAGAGTTAAAGTTAGCCATACATACCTCGTTTAAGCTTTCCTTAAGTTACTACAACGTTCCGGAAATTCTAGCAATTCCAATCTAGTTTGAAACATAACAAAATTGAACACAAATTAGAAAGGTATTCATGGTTTCAGCTCATTTGAGCATTTCATCAAATACTAGTTGAGCATCTTAATCTCAATCTCTTTTTCAAGATTTTCTTCATTCCCTAACCCAATCTTTACTTATTTATGTTAAACAATCTTCCCATAAATCTAAGTTGTACATGCATGTATACACAATAGCATTACACCCAATAATCATACCTCAATACCCCATCTTATACTCTAAACTCGAAATTAAAACCTAGGGCATAGAATCTTACCTCTTAGATGAAGAACTTGTGATTGGGTTCTTTGATTCTTGAAGATTGATGCAAGATTGGATGATTTACATGTTTGTTTCCTCCTTCTCTCTCTAGAAATGCTCTCACCTCTCTCTAAAATCAGTAGAAAATGACCCCAAATGAAGCCCCAAAGGCTATATATCAAAATGGGGTCGGGTTATGAAAATTAGAAAATTAACCCTCCGATGTCAACTCTGCTATAGCAGAATGGACCACAGAATGAACATGCGGGCTGCAGAATGCACCGCAAAATCGGTGCCCAAAACTGGGCTACACTGGTTCAATCTGCGGTTTGATTTGCGACCGCAGATTAAAAATGCGGACCGCATAATTGACATTGAGATCGCAGATCTGACATGACACAGGATCGCATTTTCCAGCCTTTGGTAATTTGATCATAACTTTGTGTAGGAAGGTCCAAATGACGAACGGTTTGAAGCGTTGGAAACTAGACTCGATGACCTTTCATTTGATAGGTTATACATCACTAGAACCTTATAGATATTTAGATATGCTCGTTCAAAGTAGGGACTAGTGCAAGATCGTTGGGAATTTTAGCCTATTATGGACTTTTCCAATTTTTCTTAGACTTAGGCCTTTCCTTGTATCCCAAATTACTTACCGTAAGACTTATACACATATTTACCAAATCCAATGGATGTACACCATGCTAATAGCACATAAAAATATCATAATAAGCCTATGTGACACCACGAAATCTTAAATTACTTAGCGAAAATTTTCGGGGCCTTACAGTTTGTAACTGCCCATGCTAGAGCCAAGAAGGCCGAAGCAAGAGTAAACGGCATATTCGCTATCAAGAAGTCCTTGGGATAGAGACTAAGGGACTTCTTCGCCCGATTCAACAAAGTAAGGATGACTCTGTCGAACGTATCCGAAGGGATATCGGTCGCAGCTTTCCAGAACGGGTTAAGTAGAGATGGTTCAAGAGCGACCAGAAAACTATTGAGCCAATTGATATCCCCCAACCACTTGGGATGAAATCCATAATGCTTATTGCGCCAAGGTCCGAGCAGACGAAGACGACCTCAACAGACCAACTCATCGGCTAACATCGGTACAAATAGAATCCAGAAAAGAACGAAGAGACAATGTCAGGAGGGATCACCCGGTTTCGCGACCCAACAGGGAACGACATAAGCTAAATGTCAAGACGGTCGCCACACCTTTCCCCGCTATGAAGAAGGCCCATCCAGGCCATGGAAGGGGACTCACCGAAACGAAAAAGGCATGCCCCCTTTACTATCTGCTCACAATTTTTGTGTGCCACCTACAGAAATAGTCTACGCTCTTGAGAAACTCAAAACAAATATAAGCGGCTGCCGAAGATGAGATCAGACCCGAACACCAGGAAATCCGACGCCCTCTATGAGTTCCACCAGGAACGTGGGCACAAAACTGAAGATTGCATCACCCTCAGACAAGAAGTCATAAACACGTTGCGGCAACGGCACCTCAAAGAGCTGTTAAGCGATAAGGGGAGAACCAACTTCGTTAGAGGACGTGAACATCAAGGCCCGCCGAAGCCGCCATCGCCAGCTCGTACTATCAACATGATCATCGGTGACAGTGATGACGCCTATACCAACGGAGTGAAGTTCACCACCACTCACAAGCTCAAGCGGTCTATCACCCACGAACGATACAACGGACTCGAAGAAAGTATCATCTTTGATGAGTCGAATACCAACGGTTTGACTTTTCCTCATAATGATGCCCTTGTTATTACTTTACATATTTTAGATACAGATGTCAAACGTGTCATGATGGATGATGGAAGTGGGGCATGCATTATCCATTCCCGAGTCCTTACACAAATGAGACTCGAGGATAAGATAGTATCGCGCTGCATTACACTAACCGATTTTAATAATGTAGTTAAGCGGACATCGGGGGAAATTACACTCCCCGTCATGGCCGGTGGTGTGACGTTGGAGACGACATTCCACATTATAGACCAGGCCACCGCATAAAATGCCATAGTGGGATGACCATGGATACATCCCATGAGAGTCATCCCCTCCATCTTATACCAAGTAATTAAATTCCTAACACCATGGGGAATGTTCAGCATACGCGGAGAACATCGCACGTCACGGGAATGCTACTGCATTGCCTTAGACAGCACGACAACCCAACAGAAAAAAAGATTAAGGAAAAATAGGCATAGCAATCAACAGGGCCGAGGTCGACGCAAGAAGAGACCGGGGATGTCATCATGGATCCCGAAATAGTCGAGGCTGCAGACTCAACAATGGAAGACCTCGACCCCGTTCGATTGGACCTCAATGACCTTAGCAAAAAGGCCTATATCGGCTGCAAACTGCGGGAGCCAGGTAAATTTAGCCAAATTTTAATAACTAATGCAGATTTGTTTGCCTTCAGCCATGCAGATATGCCTGGCATCCCAGGGGAAATCACCACACACAAATTAAACGTCGACCCGTTCTACCCCCAGTAAGATATGTCAGGCAAAAATTCAACTCTGCCATCAACGATGCGGTCCGCGAGGAGGTAGAAAAGTTGTTAGAGAACGGCTTCATTAGGGAGTCGAAGTACCCTAAGTGGATCGCCAACATAGTGATGGTCAAAAAGAAAACGGGAAATGGCGGATGTGCGTGGATTTCACATACTTGAACAAAGCATGTCCGAAAGATTCGTTCCCATTACCCCACGTTGACCAACTCGTCGACGCAACATCCGGGCACAAACTATTGAGTCTTTTGGAAGCTTACTCAGGCTATAACCAAATTCTTATGGAGGAAGAAGACCAAGAGAAGACGACGTTCATCACCCACTAAGGAACGTATTGTTATAGGGTCATGTCGTTTGGGCTGAAGAACGCGGGGGCTACATATCAGATATTGGTGACAAAGATGTTCAAATACCAGCTCGGCAAGACCATGGAGGTATATATAGAAGACATGTTGGTCAAGTCCGAAAAGGAAGAGGATCACATCGATCATTTGAAAGAAAATTTTGACATACCAAGAAGGTATGGAATGAAGCTGAACCCGGAGAAATGCGCGTTTGGCGTTACCTTGGGAAAGTTCTTGGGTTTTTGGGTGTCGCAACGAGGGATCGAGGTCAACCCAGACAAAATTAAAGCTATTGAAGGGATAACGGAACTCTTAACCACCACAAAGAAAGTCCAAAGGTTGACTAGTCGAATCACCGCCCTATCGAGATTCATCTCGCGGTCGTTGGATAGATGTCACAATTTTTTGGCGTACTCAAAAAGGACAACAGCCTATCATCACCACCCCTACTTTCAAAGCCTGGGGAGCAACTCCTCGTCTATTTAGCCGTCTCCGAAGTAGTGGTAAGCACAATCTTGATCCGCAAAAACAAAGGTACGCAATCTCCCATCTATTATAGTAGCAAAACACTTGTCTATGCCGAGATGAGGTACCCACACCTCGAAAAATTGGCTCTGTCCTTGATCGTAGCTTCACGAAAGCGTAGACCCTATTTCCAATGCCACCCCATCTCGGTCATCATAATGTTTCCCTTGAGGAGCATCTTGTATAAACTCGAGCTATCAGGGAGGCTGGCCAAATGGGCCATCTAGCTAAGCAAGCACGATATCACATACCAGCCGCGAACGACGATAAAGTCACAGGTGCTCGCCGACTTCGTCGCCGACTTCAGTGCAAAAATAATGCCTGAAGTCGAAAGTAAAGCCGTCCAAGCTTCCCTCCAAACACAAGACCTTTGGGTCCTATACATCGATGGCGCATCCAATGCAGTAGATTTCGTACTGAGACTCGTACTCAAGGTCCTTACAGGCAAAGTAATTCGCCAGTCCATAAGGGTGCCTAGATATGACTAACAATGAGGCCGAGTATAAGGTCGTAATTGCAGGGTTGAGGCTAGTACTCAAGTATGGGGCAAAATGGTTTAAACTCCGCTGTGATTCCCAGCTCGTAGTCAACCAAGTCACATGGACGTTCCAAATCAAGGAACAAAGGTTGCAAAAATACCAGATCAAATTCTGCAAGCTATTACCTGAGTTCGACAAATGCCAGCTCGACCAGATCCCATGGGCATAGAATGCGGAAGCAGACGGCCTCACCAAACTGGTCGCTGCTACCAAAAACATCACGACCGGGGATAAAAGCGTAGTCCATCTCCTCAACTCATCACTAGACCAAATCAAGGTAAGAACCATAAAGTTAACTTGGGATTGGCGTAATCGTATTATTGCCTATTTGCAGGATGACACACTCCCAGGCGACAAAAAAGAAGCCAAGAAACTAAGAATGTAAGCGACCAGATATAGTCTCCTTCATAGCGGCCTCTACAAGAGGACTTACGTCGACCCTCTAGAGAAATGCTTGGGCCCAAACCAAACCCAGTGCGCCCTTAAAGAAGTCCACGAAGGCCATTGCAGTGCTCACTGTGGCAATCGAGCACTGGTCATATGCCTCATACGAGCAGGATACTGTTAGCCCACTATGAAAAAGGACGCCGCAGACTTCGTGAGGAAATATGAACAGTGCCAAAAGTACGCCCCAATGATTCACCAAGCAGGCGAACACCTCCACTTAGTCACCTCTCTTCGGCCGTTCATCAAATGGGGAACGGACATCGTGGGACCCCTCCCAACAAGGCGAGGTAATGTATGATTTCTTTTGGTTTTAACTAACTATTTTTCTAAATGGGTGGAAGCAGAAGCATTTGCCCAAATACTAGAACACGATTTAATCACCTTTATATGGAGAAACATCATCTGCCGATTCGGCCTACCCAGGGAGATCAGCTATGACAACGGACCCCAGTTCACGGGAAAGAAAACCGTCGAATTCTTCGAAAAATGGCATATCAAGAGGATACTTTCAACCCTATATCACCCAGTGGGTAGTGGTCAAGCGGAGTCCTCCAACAAGTCCATACTAAACATCATGAAGAAAAAGCTCGAGGACGCTAAGGGACTATGGCCGGAAATACTACCAGAAGTATTATGGGCCTATCGAACAACCCCGAAGACGAGCAAAGGAGAGACGCCCTACTCTTTGGTCTATGGGACTTAGGCAGTAATACCGGTCGAGGTCGGAGAACCTAGCCTAAGGTAATCCCACGAAAGAGGTATGAGTAACGATGAGAGCAGAAGGCAGGAACTCGACGAAATTGACCAATGAAGAGATATGGCATACATAAGGATGGTTGCCAAAAATAACAAGCAGAACACTATTACAACAAGAAAGCAAAGGTCCAGCCGCTCAAAGTGAGACTACATGCTAAAAGCCAAAACTCAAGCGAGCAAAGACCCCTAGGAAGGCAAGCTGGGAACAAACTGGGATGGTCCGTACAAAATCACAGCCAACACGAACAAGGGTTCATTCCAACTAGAAACAATGGAAGGAAATCAACTACCAAACAATTGGAACATCATCCAACTCAAATACTTCAATTTCAGAGAAAAAGTGTCCCCCAAGTCGTACTCATTTTCCCTCACTTGAGTTTTGTCCCATTTGAGTTTTCTCAAGGAGGTTTTTAACGAGGCGGCGAAGGGAACACTTCGAGTTGAATTACGCGAGGAAGGGACCGTTGTTACTTTTTCATTGCTTGACTCCTCAATACCCTCCAAGTCAAACAATGAAGGGACTAGGTAGACTGGGACTGGAACACTTGCAAACACCTAAAATCTGTAATTTTCTCCAAGTATAAAACCAAAGCAACAATGTCAGAGTAATAAGAAACTTACATTTATCAGGACACCTTTTTCGTATTAAGGTTACGTTCGACCCTGCTCGAACAACACCTATCGACCCTCGGCTGCGATTTAACGAAAGGTTATGTTCGACATCACTGGAACAAACACCTACCAGCCCTCGGCCACAGCTTAATGAAAGGTTATGTTCGACTAGGCTCGAACAAGCACCTACCGGCCCTCGGCCTCGATTTAACAGAAGTTTATGTTTGACTAGGCTTGAACAAACACCTACCAGTCCTCGACTACAATTTAACAAAAGCTTATGTTCGACTAGACTCGAACAAACACCTACCGGCCCTCGATTGCGATTTAACAAAAGGTTGTGTTTGACTAGGTCGAACAAACACCTACCGGCCCTCGATCGAGATTTAACGAAAGGTTATGTTCGACCTCACTCTAACAAACACCTACTGGCCCTCGACCTCAACTTAACGAAAGGTTATGTTTGACCCCGCTCGAACAAACACCTACCAGACCTCGGCCGCGATTTAACGGAAGTTATGTTCGACTAGACTCGAACAAACACCTACCAGCCCTCGGCCGCGATTTAACAAAGGTTTATGTTCGACTAGGCTCGAACAAACACTTACCACCCCTCTGCCAGGATTTAACTAAAGGTTACGTTCGACTAGGCTCGAACAAACACCTACCGTCCCTCGGCCGCAATTTAACAAAATGTTATGTTCGGCCTTGCTCGAACACCTATCGGCCCTCGGTCACATCTCAACGAAGAAACGCGTGTGACCCATGAATATTCGGCTCCAACGCCATGACTAGTTTAAAGACAATAACAATAAGAAGGACAAATAGCAAAACGAGCAAACAATAGAAGCAAAAAATATAAAAGTACATAAAATAAACCAAAGTAACGGAAGAAGGTACAAGGAACAACTATGATATTTCATACTTAAACTGTTTACAAAGGCTCGTGAAGGCACTGGCAAAAATACACAAAAAAGTCAAAAAGAATACTACGGGTAGCCTCCATCACGACCTTCAATGCCCTCGCTAGCTCGGTTGGTCAATGGCATCACCACCTTGACCACCGATACCCTCACCATCTTGATCCCCCTCGCCATCGCCACTTTCCCCTCATGATAAGCGATATCATACCGGGCGTTCTCCTCAAGCCGGTCTACACCCTCGTCCCTATCCTCCTCATCGGCCTCAAGCGTAGCGGGATCATATCCACAAGCGATTCGAGCTTCACGATCCTTAACACGAACACCTTCAAGGGCAGCCTTAGAAATACATCTA